ACATATCCATCCATCCATCCATCCATCCATCCATCCATCCATCCATCCATCATGAACATTCATGAAAAAAAAACCTTCCCCCGCAGCCTCATCTTTTACATTCTGAGACGTTAGAAATGAATTTAATGGTCATCCTGAAGGATTTCAACCATCCTAAGAAAGACATTCCCTTCAGCTGCTTGGATCTGTGCTCCTATAGGTTATAATCTACATCTCGTAAACACTGGTGGGTTTCTAATTTCAAAATGCCTTTTTTATTGTTGATCACTTTCTTTAATCTAAACAGCTCCCCAATCCATTGACCCATTTTCCTGAAAAAAGTAACCTAAGATATAACAGCTGATCCCCAGGAGCGGAGCAATTGGGAGTCCTATAACAGACAGTCTAGTTCCTTTTAAGTATTGTTTCCTATTACCAGAGAGTTTTTTTTTTATTTATTTCTTCTGCTCCTTAATTCATGGCTTTTTGAAAAAAATATTTTTGCTTTTTACTCAACAATAAAAGAACATGTAAATAATATGACGATACAGCCTGCTATGACAGTATGGTTTTCAGCACCATCCAAACTGTATTCCTAAATAAACATTTTCCACATCTTGCCAAATATAAATTAGAATGCATTGTATTGGGATTTGGTATGATAAAACAATAAGTAACAAAAAAATGTTCTGTTTGTTAATCCATATTTAGTCACTGCAGTCAACTTTTCCGGGAACCAGTCTTTGCAAGTTTCTACCAACTTTACCCAAAATAAAAACTACATTTTTTACACATTCTGCTTTGCAAAACCTCTCAAGCTGGATTAGAATGATTGAACAAATTTATAAATCTCTGTTTTCAGGACTTACCAACATTTTGCACATGACTACACTTTAATCTAAACTCCTCTTTTATAGGTCTGACAGTACTTTTTTTTGTTAAAACAAAACAAAACAAAAACATATTGGCAGAATAGAACGATGGTGCTAAATATGAGCAAAATTAAATATCTAGGATACTTTTATTTTGCAAACTACAAAATGATGTCATGTGGCTTCCTTTAAACACTGATTTTCTCATTGCCTTTCATCAGTGATCTGTGGCATGAAATTCTAATACCGTAGTTGTCAACGCAACACAGTTTCCCATGTGAGCTCTCCTCTTCTACTGGAGCCTCCTTTAACCTGCTTCCAGGATTAATGCTTTCCTCTTCCAGTATGTCTGTTTAGGAGTATGATGAGCTCATGTTGGTAGGTTTACAGTACAAATCTTTATTCCATTTTTATAACATAACCAACTTTAGATCAGTCCAAATCATCAGACCTGTACTCTATTTTCATGTTGTTAGGTTTCTCTAACAAAAAACTGAAGCCTTCACAGATTCCCTTGATTTGCCTTTAATTTTTTATTTTTTCGCACATATTGAACAACAGGCTACATTCACAATTCATATTCACACACACACCTGAGTAGGTATACATATAAATACACAGTGTATATGTGATCCTGCCTAATCTAAATGATTTATTTTTCATAAAAATAAGCTTACATGATTTTTTTTTTATACTGCTGCAAATTTTAAAAATTCACATTTTTACTTTTTTTTTTTTTAAACAATGCACTCTTGAGGAAAAAAACAGCCACGTGCTGATACTGTTCCTGGACTTAAGCTCTGCTTTCAACGCAATCATTCCACAGCATCTGATGGGCAAACAGAAACAGCTGGGATTCAATACAACCCTCTGCAATTGGCTGCTAGACTTCCTCACCAACAGACCTCAGTCAGTCTGGGTCAGACAGAACACCTCTGATGTCATTACCCTAAGCACAGGCTCCCATCAGGACTGCGTCCCCAGATTCACCAGCAATCACATCATGAAGTTTGCAGGTGACACCACGGTAGTGGGCCTCATCAGTGATGACAATGACCAGAACTACAGAGAGGAGGTGGAGCAGCTGGTGGACTGGTGCAGAGACAACAACCTGACCCTGAATGTGGAGAAGACGAATTAGATTATCGTTGACTTCAGGAAGAACCGGCCTAACCACGCTCCACTGGTCATCAACAGCTCAGCTGTAGATGAGCAGACATTTCCTCCCAGCGCTGTGTGTCCCAACCCAATAATATTATCAAAGACCCCTCAAACCCCGACCATGGACTGTTCTCCCTGCTGACCTCTGGAAAGAGGCTTCGAAGCATCAAATGCAGGTCCAGCAGATTCCATAACAGTTTCTTCCCCCCACCAACAGGCTGCCTGTAAATCAAGTCATAGACTCTGCATTACACTGATAATACCAAACGAAAAGTACTGCATATTTGCACCATGTATTAATGCTCTGAACTTCCATATCAATTTGTTTTTTCACCATGTTTTTTGATCACTGATGCACTTTCTGAAATAAATATATGTTAATTTTTCTGTCAAGCTGCTCCTCATGCCTTGTCTAAAAGCTGACCAAAACGAAATTTGGTTTTGTATACCCTATACAAAATGTCAAAAGTTGTCTATAAGGTCTTTCCTCTCCCTCCTTTATTATGTTGGTCTTATCAAATTTCATTAAAACATAGCCCACAGGTTTGTGCTTTTTATGTAAAACAAAAGAATAGAAAGGAGTTCAAAAGGTATTGATGATGATTACTTTTTAAAGACATCAAGAGACTATTTGAGAGACGATAGCCAAAAATATTTTAGGCCCAAGATAATGTGAAAGTTTAAATTCTAAAAAAATAAAATAAACTAAATAAATGCTATTTTTGAATCGGGTTAAAATTGTTTTAAAATTACCAGAAGTACTCAATGTTTTTCAAGATTTTTTTTCCAGCTTTTTTGGCTTAGGAGATTTTTTTATTCAATGTTGTTTCTGTACCTGAAGATGTGTCTCATCGCCGCCAGGTGGCGACAAAGTCCCACCACCTCCTATCGGTGACGCCACTTAAACGCGACTCTTCGCTTATGTGAGTGTCTGACCTTCTAGCGGGGTATAACCAGGATACTAATTCAGATTAATACATGCCCAACAGGTGACAATGTTTGGTGTGAGGAAAGCGATACAGGCGACGGCGAGGAATCAAATCTGCAGGCCGTTTTCTGCCTCTCAGACTTACCTGCAGGAGAGAAAAGTGAGTAAATCACCTCCCAGTGGTGCAGCAGTGATCCTAGGAGCCGCTATAACAGCATGGTATGGGGCTGTGTGTGTGTGTTCATCTATAGGGTCTGGTCCTGGGAGTGTTTGAGAAGGAGACAGAGGATGGAGGTCTGCATCTAACAGAAGCTACAGCCAGGTTTGACCAGTCTCTGTCTGGAAAGCTCTCAGAGCTCCTGAAAATGTGAGTTGCTTTGTGCATCTGATCATCAGTCTGTGCATGGATTCTGTAAATGATCAAATATCAATCAAAGTGTTCCCACTGGTGGAAAGTTGAGAGGAAGGAAGAGGTTTCTGCTCCATAGAGATACATGCAAGACTGGATGAAGCAGATGATATGGGATGTGGAGCACAACTTTTGGAGCCAATGCAGACATGTATGCCTGGGAAGCCCATATAAATAAATATATATATATAAGGCATGTTGTCCAGTGACTGTAAAACATGCCTTTAACTGACAGAGGAACCCACTTAGAGCACTAATTATACCAAAATTGTAAAATAAAAAATAATAATAATAATTACAAAA